TGGGCTTCCATAGGATTTTTAGTGTAGGCCTTTAGGGCAGTTATCCATCTTCATACTCTCCTCTACCCTACTCTCCCATTCCCTGCCATGTTTAACTCTTCTTATTCCATTATTCCCTTCTCCCTTCTTTGTATCACTGTGTTCTATCTCCCTTTCCAAGAAGACCCCCCTCTCCATTGATTCCTAACTAGTTTCTTGACCTCTGTGGATTTGCAACAAAACACATATACCTAAAGATTCAATGTTAGCAATGAGCTATGAGAGAGAAATTTAACATTTGTCTTTCTGGGTCTGGGTTACCTCACTCAGGGTGACTGTTTCCAGTTTCATCAATTTACCTTTCATAATTTCATTTTTTCTTAACAGCTAAATAATATTCCATTATATAAATGCACCACATTTTCATTATCCATTAATCAGTTGATGGAAATCTAGGCTGTTTCCATTTCCTGGCTACTGTAAATCAAGCAGCAATGAACACGGATGCACTGGTATCTCTGTTGTACAATAGAGAGTCCTTTAGGTTTATGCCCTAGAGTGGTATAGTTGGAACATGTGGGAAATCTACTTCTAGATTTTTGAGGCACTTCTACACTGATTTCCATAGTGGCTGCATCATTTTGCACTTCCACCAGCAATGAATAAGTGCCCCCTTTCTCCACATCCTCGCCAGCATTTGTCATCATTTGGTTTTTAATCTTAGCCATTTTGATTGGGATAAGATAAAAATCTAAAAATAGTTTAAATTTGTATTTCCTTTATGGCTAAAGATGTTGAACATTAAAAAAATATTTCTTAGCCATTTGTGTTTCATTTTTGAGAACTTTTTGTTTACTTCCTTACCCCAATTTTTAATTTTTTATATATATTTTTTAAATGCTTTGTTATAGATACAAACCCTCTGTCAGATGTATAGCTGGTAAATATTTTTCCCCATTCTGTAGACTGCCTTTTCACCTGAATGATAGTGTCCTTTTTAGTTTCATGAGGTCCCATTTGTCAATTGTTGATCTTAATGTCTGTGCTACTGGGGTCCTATTCAGAAAGTCCTTTCTTGTGCCAATAAGTTACAATGTATTCCCTATATTATTATCTGTCAAATTCAGGGCATCAGGTCTTACACTGAGGTCCTTGAATCCACTTTGAATTGAGTTTTGTGCATGGTGAGAGATAGGAATCTAGTTTCATTCTTCTACATGTAGCTATGCAGTTTGACCAGCAACATTTGTTGAAGATGCTCTTTTCTCTAATG